TAGGTGATAGAAATGGAAAATACCAGAAAATTATCCCTTTAAATACAACCCTCTCTTTGTGTGTGTGTGTGTACTGGTATTAAGGCCTGAAATCAGGGCCTTGATGCTGTTCCTTAGCTCTTTTGCTCAAGGCTGGTGCTCAACCACTTGAGTCACAGCTCCACTTCCATCCCTCTCTTAATGCTTCACTAGAGTCTGGTCCCTGCCTACAGGCTTGCTGGCCTCCTTTCCTGTCTGCTTTTGTGACTTCCTTTCTGCCTGCTTTGCTGATTTCTTCCCTTCCTTCCTGACTTCCTTTTATTGAGGTCAGATAGTTTTTCCCTTCTCCTCGCTGTCTACACCCCCCCTTCTATTTTCCCAATAAATCTCTGGCATGTCAAATCTTGTCTTGGTATCTGTCTTCAGAGGATCTAGACTAACAGCCTCCTATTTTTCAAGTCAGCTGTACAGAACTAAGGTATTACTTAGTCACCTTTCCTACCTTTCATCAGTAGTACATTAAAAGGCTTCTCCAATGCAGACAAGACTTTGAAGAAGATTGGAGTGGAAGAGGTAGTTGGATAATTTTAACAGGTGATGGAATCAAGTCTCCACCACAGTGCTAGCTCTACTGCGTAGTATAGAAACAGGCCTTGTACCGGACTTCCACGGATCCCACACAAATGTGCTTTACTTCTGAATACAGACAGCAACGCAATAGAATGGTAACTTCCTTGATAGCTTTAACTCCCTGTTTGCTTCCATAACTGGTTGTAAATGTCGACCTAGAGGACCTGAATTCCATGTTAGCTATTCTTCCTCTCCAGGCTTACGTTGCCCACGGCCCACTTGGATTTCCATAAGTCACAAGCTCACTCCTGTTTTCTCTTGAACTGTAACTCATTAATTCCTGCCGTTGTCCTTACTAAGGTCCCAGGCCATGAGTCCTCTGCTGCACCACACACATCCATCTCAAAGTCAGCTCCTTTGAAAGCTCCTTTCAGTCTGCTAACTTTCTTAGAAAATGGTTTCCCCCACCCCCTGGTTGTTGCCTTGCCAGCCAGCAGCTGTTTCTTCTCTGTCCCTGCAAGAATCCTACTGCTGCTGACTGGGTCTTTCTTTCTTTATCCCATTGGTCACCTAATGATATCCCTGCCGCTCAGCCTCTAAAGTCCTCCACACTGAAGCCATGGTGATTTTTCTAACAAAACGGGCATAAGTTGTTTTGTGATGTCCTTGCATACTTTTCAAGCTCTTTTTTTCTGTATGTTCTGATAAAGCCGACAGACATTCAACTACCACCCTCACCCCCTGCTATGATGGATCTCATTCATTTTAAATATGATTAGAGAAAAATAAGGCACCATTCAGTTCTGTAACACTGATGTGGGAGAGGCCATTTTTTTATTTTGAGATCATATTTTAGAAATACAGAGATAATACACCTCATATAAAGGTACAGGATTTGCCTGGCACCAGTGGCTCATGCCTCTAATCCTAACTACTCAGGAGGCTAAGATCTGAAGATCATGGTTTGAACAAAGTCAGTTCAGGCAGGGAAGTCCTGAGACTTTTTATTTCCAATTAACCAGAGAAAAAGCTGGAAGTAGCACTGTGGCTCAAGTGGTAGAGCACTAGCCTTGAGCAAAAGAAATCTCAGTGATGGCTCTCAGGCCCTGAGTTCAAGCCCCAGGACTGGCAAAAAAAAGTTTAGATTTTAAATAAGTACTGTGGCAAGTTTTGACAAATACATAATATACCCTAGCACATTACAGAACTCTTTCATCATAACCCCCAAATTATACTTTAATTAGGAAATGACTTAAAAATAAATTACAGGAGAGAATGATTTAAAAATACAAAATCATCCAACACCATTGTTTTAACCCTTTACAATTAGTTCAGTGAATTTACCTTTTTTGTTGTTATTCCTGGGGACATACATTTTCATTTGTTGAAACATCCTTCCTCCTGATAAAAGTGATATTGAGAAACAGAGTAGATTTTAACAGAATTCCATTACCTTACCCCTAAGACATGCCAAAGCCTACCATCTATTAATCTCAGAGTGATTGTCATTTCATGTTTTGCTTATTCATCTAATGTGAATGCACAAATCTCATTTGCAGATCTTCCTTGCCATGTAGTCTCTGGCCAGGCCCAGAGAGTTCCAGAGATATTTGTTGAATAAATACACAATGGTAAAGGCCTAGGTTAGTGACTTGTAAGTCATATGTGAAGTTCAGACTTTATGCCAAGGCAAGATGTCCATTATGTTATGTGTGTGTGTGCGTGTGTGTGTGTGTGTTTCCACAAATGCGATGATTAGATCTGTGCTTTAGAAAGGCAACTCAAAGCAGTGTAAAGACTATAAACAAGTGACAAAAATAGTTACAAGGATTGAGTTGGGCATACATGGTGTGTGTGTGTGTGTCTGTGTGTGTGTGTGTGTCTCTGTGCATGCGTGTACGTACTGGTCGGTCCTGGGGCTTAGACTTGGGGCCTGAGTGTTGTCCCTCAGATTTTAGACTCAGGGCTCGTTTTCTACTGCTTGAGCCACAATTCCACTTGTGAGGGGTGGTTGATTGAAGAGT